GTGTGCTCTTCCGATCTTATAATGTAACATTAAAATTACTCCAAATTTATTGTGACAAATAATTAAGTAATTTACGTATAGGCACAGCAACTTATTTCTTACGATAAAACATAATAAACACTGAAAATCGTTCATTAATTATTATATAACAATAATGTTTTAGAATGTTTTATTAATAAGATCTTCTCGAGAAAGCATATATGCTTCGCATTAAAGGACACGTGAAATTGCTACTGTAAAAAGACATTTCTCGGAAAATCATCGGGCCTATACTGTCTCCCGTCGGCGGAAAATTTGGATGTTCCTCCTTTTCATTATCATCCATGCAACAATTAATATTCTAAATTATTTTATCGTTTAATTCTTTTCAAGGTAGTATGAGACTAGCATTAAAGAATACAAGGATTGCAGATATATTGGTAATAATCCAGCGTGTTGCTTTTCGGAGCTTCGTCGAGGCACTCGAGATCATCTCTATCATCGACTATCAGATCACACCGCGCCTATTCTCTCCCGTCGGCACTTGGATAGACGTGGTGCGTAATTCCTTTCTTGAAAACGTGGACGTGGAGCGCTAGTGTACGGGGGAGATCGCCGGTCCCACCCAAAAGGTCGGCGTGACCGCTGAGGCCGCTCTCGTCTCGTCTTGTAACAACACTACTCCAGTAATAATAAAGGCGTTCAAGAAGCACGTGGCCATTCGCATTTCAATTTGAGGATAGTTGAAATTTCTTTCGGGTAAGCGGCACATTTATTTCGGCAACGTATATTATCCCGTTTTCCATAAAGCTTGACGTCAGACAATATATATACATATATAGAGATCTAATTAAAGTAAACAAATTGGTTGGCAATCTATTGACGGTAATTACGCGGGAATTCTACGAAATCGTCAGTTCAGGTTAACTTTTTCGTTAGATATCTTCATGGGTTGTTGAGTTTATCGGCTTTTGTACACGTGAGAAAGATGCCACGAGAGTTTGGCGCTGTTCTAATGTTCAGTTCCTACGTTATTCTCTTACGGCACATTAGAGTGATTTTCGATCGACTATAAAGTCTGATTGATGATCAATTGTCATTAAGTTCAGCCGGCAAAATTATCTACATTTAAAAAAATGCCAGTTTTAATTCGTCCCTAATAATCCCTAATCTATTTTTTCAAACAAAAATTAATCACATTCGAAAGAATAATAAACATCTATCCACTACTTGACAATTTCAGTTTTCGAATAAATTCTGTGTTTGGTCAAAACCACTCTACGTATTTGTTAAAATCTTCGATTGTTGCTTAATTCTCTCTAGAAATTCTGTTCAAGAATTTGGGTCCAATGAGAGAATTTTTTTTTTTACAGTTCTTGCAAGAGCCATCAGTGAGAATTATTCAAACACCAGCAACTGCGAGTCGAGAAAAATATCAACAAATTAAAACAAATAGATAGTTTAGTACCACTTCTTATTAAAAAGAAGAAAAATTATTATTAAGTCTTAGTTGTCAAAATATAACTAAGCAATGGAAAAAAAACGGGATCCACGATGGATTATGAAAGAGCACGAAAATGTAAGTTTGTAAGGAATTACTAAATGCATTTTGCTTTATATAATTTATAATGTAAATTTGTTTCAACAGTTTGAGGAATATACATATAATACGTCGGACAAGTTAACAGCGCTGGAGAAATTTGTAAAGGTAATATATTGTAAAGAGAGCAATGTGTTATGTATTAATATGTGTATCAATATGTGTGTGTGAAAATATCTTTCTTATTATAGAATCTGAAGATAAATATAATACAGGAAGAACGAGACCAAAGAGAATTAGAATTCGACATAATTGGTTGTCATACTTCGCTAGCTAATGCATTTCGCAGAATACTTTTGAGTGAAATACCAAGTATGGCTATTGAGAAGGTTTATATCATAAATAATACCAGTTTGCTCCAGGATGAAGTACTTGCACAGAGGTAAGAGAAATAAACATCAAGTTTTTTATCCAATTTTTATCTTTATGAAATTTTTTTTTATGTAACATAAATTAACGTGATATTTTGTTTTCAAGATTGGGTCTTATACCGCTTTGCGCAGATCCTAGACTATTTGAGTATCCTCCGAACGGGAGACCGGATGATGAGGTCAGTGATCAAGATACTCTGAGATATGAATTGAAAGTCATGTGCACTGTGAATCCACAAGCGCCTAAGAATTCTCGTCTTCCAGAGGATATGTACAGAAACAGCAAAGGTATTTCTTCATTAAATGAACTTATTGAATTTCCAATTTAATAGATTACAATTACAATAATTTTGGCCTTATTTTTAATAAACACAATATGTAAATGAAATATCGATTCCTGAAACGAGGTATCATTCCTCTCACAACTTTTAACTTTCTAATCTTTTATTAAATCGAGATACACATGGGATGAAACGGAGATCAAATTTGAAACCTACAATTACGAGATTATTTTGATACAAAACTATTTTAATTACAATGAAATAATGTTTCATTTAAATATATGTTAAAGACAGAACCAAAGACTTAATTCTTTCATTTAATATATAACTATTTTATTGTTAAATTATTCAACATCCTAAATATGATTGACTCACTAGATATTATACTAGTTTTTGAACGTAACAATATTAAATAAAATACATAACACGCAGTATTCTTTTTACAGTTTATAGCAAGGACATTAAATGGGTGCCAATAGGCCGGCAAGCAGATATGTTTCCACGAGTGGATAAGTTCAGTGTCCTAGAAGACGATATATTAATATGTAAAATGCGTCCTGGTCACGAGATCCATCTGTTTATGCACGCAGTCAAAGGCATCGGCAAGGATCACGCCAAATTTTCCCCCGTGGGTACGTGCGAGCGAAACCTTGTTTGCAACTTTGTATTGTGATATAAATATCGTAGATTATAAACAATTATCATGTTTTTAAAATTCTTAAATTCAAAGTAAATTATTTTATTGATATCAGTGTTTAATATGTTTAGCCACTGCATCATATCGCCTCTTGCCGGCCATTCAGCTAACCAAGCCCGTGAGAGACGAGGACGCGGATCTTCTGCAGAGCTGTTTCAGCCCCGGCGTGATAGAGGTGGTAGAACAAGAGACGAGCACGGGTCAGAAGTACCGTGAGGCACGCGTTAAAAATGCTCGTTACGACAGCTGTTCCAGAAACGTCTATCGTTATGAGCATCTAAAGAATTGTGTGGAACTGAGTCGGATAAAGGATCATTTTATCTGTAAGTACGAATAATCTAGAAATCATTAGAAAAAGAAAGAGTCGAGCTCAAGTCTAATTAAAGCCCAAGTCACGGTCGTTGAACCATATTTTTCCTGTTGAGCATTAAATATTGAAGATATTACTTATGAGAAATGACGACTCTAGAAAGTTTACACACATATTTAAATATATATTTATGTATATATGACTTGTGTATTCTTAATTCTAGTCACCATAGAATCTGTGGGAACATTACCATCGGCTACGTTATTCAAGGAGGCCATTAAAACGCTCAAGAATAAGTGCAGAACATTTCTCGCAGAGCTGGAAAACGTAGGAGAATAAATTTGGAGTAAAATGATCTTCTCGATGAGGCAAAGATCGTCAAAAGAGATCATCAAAAATTTATCATCCAGAAGTTGTTGCCTGTGCGTCTTGTGAACAGCACCAATAAGATCGTGCAAGTAAATCAGTGCCAATTAATAATTTATACTTAGCGATATGCTTTTATTAATTGATTAATAAAATTACTTTATTGAATTTTTAATGACTTATTTTTTTAAAAATAATTAATAAAATAACCCAATTATTAATCGTCGCTTATATTTATAATAACCATAATTAACTATCTTTATAATTTAACTCTTTGTTATTATAAAACTCATTGTAAAATTACATTAATATTATAAACCGGTAAAAAATCATATTATTTTCAATATTATTTATGATTCAATATTAGATAATCATTTAATTGTTATTTCTCAAAATATTATTGCTTTGCGCAATAATCGTAAATAATAATCAATTTTGTTACACTTCGCCCAAATATGTTTTAGGTATGAGACACCGGCGATAGCTGTTGACCGTCTCTGAAGCAATATATTTACATGCAATATAGTTACATGTTTATTAGATTTTTGTAATATCCGGACAATAAAAATCAAAGTGATTGTAAATCTCTTGCATCAATACGTGATCGGTGTGGCAATAAATGCAAACACATATTAAAGATTAAAATGCCTGCAAGTCGTGTCACTATTATAAAATATATACCTAAGTTAATTTTTTACTTACGATAAAAATTAATTATGGCTCTTCTATAATCCTTAATAATATTATTATCGAAAAATTAGTAAATTACTTTTTCTTTTCTATAAATAATAATTCACATTATTCATTAATAATTGATATAGTGATAATAAAATTGTCATAAAGAACAGCTAGAGTATTGTTCAATTTACGACAATTTTATTATCATTTTGTTGCTATTTTATTGTTATAGAATAAGATAAGTTCTTTACTAACGACAATTGTTTAATAACATCGGTAAGAATAAGATCCTTAGGTATATTTATTGACACACTTATCGAGAGCAGTAATGTATGTACTATAAATATAATTCAAAATAATAGTTATAACGTCAATTGAGAGATGACCGATAGTCCGTCTCTAAATATAATTTTGCGGCTATCGAAATCAATCATTGCGTAAGTAGTTCACAGGCAATGGTTCGCGATTTTATATGTATGTCAATGTGTTGCAAAAGTACAAAAAAAAAGTATCGCAATTTTCTGTCTGTGATATTTTTTTTAGATTTGTGTTTTTTTTTACTTAATTTATACTTAGAACAGCGCTCAGAATAAAATAAAATAAAACATGATCTATAAGAGAGGGAGGGAGGGGGAGGAAAGGTCATAAGAACGAAGAAATCAAAAGAAGCGTGAAAACTGTAGCTAGAAGAAGCAAAATGTAATTTCAGAGCAATCTGTACTAAACAATGTTTGCAGATTAAGAAATTGGAAATTAATTAATCGGGACAAAAGTGGATCCAGATCGAAGTTGATTGGTCGAGATCTACTCTCCGGCTCCGACTCGCAAGTCCTCCAATGCGCGCTGAGAATGCTCCGATACGGAGCTCTGCTTCACGCGAAGCGTTGCGAGCTCGCATCGCCGCGTGATACATACGATGATGCCGCGAGAAAAGGCGAAAAAAAATAAAGAGAGGGAAAAAAAGGGAGAAATCCGTCCGTGGATTCGACACGCGGCAGCCGTGAATCCCACGTTGGCACACTCCGCGTGGCGTTGGGGTCCGAGCTGCCGCGATAGTGCTCGGTCGGGGGATCTCGGGTCGAGGATCGATCGTCGCGAGCGAGGAACGTCCGCCGCGGTCCGTCGCTTCGCGCGCGCGTTCCGTCCCGTCGCGTCGCGTCGCGCCGCTATGTCGGCCGTCGCCGCCGGCGCGTTCGACGCTAGGAAACGTTGCGTCAGCCCGCGCTAACGAGGCCGCCGTCGCCGCCGCCGCCTCCGTCGTCGCCGCCGTCGTCGCCGCGCGGAGAGTCGTGCGCGCCTCTTGCCGCGACAACAGCCGGGACGATGGGGTTAGGCTTTCGATGGCGCCTCGTGCTCGTGCTGCTCCTCGGCCTGCTGCTCTGGCAGACCTCCAAGATCTGGCTCGCGTTCCTACAGGACGGCGCCGCCACGCCAGGTATACAAAAGTCGTCGCCGCGCGCTCCTCTTACTCTCTCATCCCATTCGCGTGTCTCGCGCTACACCTGTCGGCCTGCCTACGCCGCCGCCGTTGGAGAGGCGGCCTGTCGCGCGCACGTCTCCGCCGTCCGCCTGCCGCCTGTTTCGCTTGAATTCGATGAATCGATTTTTTTTCTTTCCGACGACGCGATGATATCTAGGCGAGAAATGTCAGCGGCGCGCGTTAATCCCGATAGTCGTCGGTCTCCCCGAGGAGTGCCGTCAATCTGCGCTTCCGAAAGTATGTCTTTTTTGAAAAATCGAGAAATCGAATATTACTTGCGATGATTAGACTCGTATGACTCTTTAGATCGTAGATGAATTTTTTTTCAATATAACGGTGCAATAACAGCGTACTCTTATTCAAGGCCATAGGCTGATATTTCTGGTTCTCTTTCACGATTATTCGATGCGCAATTTGTCAAGCGCATCGTTATCTGATACCTTTGAAGTGACCCGATTTTTTTTTATTCGACGCGTGAGCATGTACAATCTCCGATTTGTTTTTAAAGCACGAACGCTCGATCGCTCGCCGTTTAAATGTAACATCTGTCAAATCGCAGGTGCTAAGAGTTGCTCCGACTGGAAGAATCCTTGCGATCGAAGCTCCAGCAATCGCGATTCGACAGATGAAACTATCCGGATTAATTATAGTATAGTTTAAAAATAGAAAGAGAACCGTCACGATTGTTTTTTTGTTTCAGTAATAATAATAAAAACCGATTATTAAAAGTCGTAGAATCTTGAAAGCACTGCAGCTTATATATATATGTGCATATGCGTCTCGTTTATTTTTAAACCGAACTAACGAGAATCACATATGGAGGAAAAATCAATGTAATAGAAATTAACATAACGCATTAGAAAAATCAGGCTGGATATACATGATTAACACACCACTTACGTCAATTAATAAAAAAAGAAATAAGTCATTTATCAGTGTCCTATAGTCACAAGATAAGCAATGATTCACAGATTTGCGTTTCTTTTTTTGTATCAGAAATTATATAAAAGCAATTGTGGCAACAAACATCCTGAATGCCACGAAGCCAAGGTAACGATTATTTTTGTTATCAGTAATGATAAAGATGATTACTGACAACTGAAAAGTCTTGAAAGTACTGTAATTTATATATACGCGTCTTAAATACAAATGTATTTTTGAATCAAATTCTCACGAGATGGATATAAACATTTTCTATATTTATTTTTTAATCGTATTACCGCAAATGTCTCTCGAATATTTCATTCATTTTCATTTTTATATATCTCTGATATTTTATAGAATTCGAAATTATAAAAACAATTTACGGTTTCTCGCGCGGAAAATAGTCTCAAATAACCAAGATAATAGTTATGCTTACTCAAATAAAAATTATAAAAATTAAAAAATCCTGAAAGAATCACAATTGATATACACGTCTCATTTTCAAACCAAAATTAACATGATGGATATAAAGATTTTCTAATTTTTCTGATCGTATTATCACAAGTGTTGAATATTGAAATTTTACGTAGAATTCGAAATTATAAGAATTTACGATTTTTCGTATGAAATCGATTTTTAATAATCTCAAACGACTGCAGTAATACTTGTTTATTCAATAGTGATAAAAATCGATGCGTGACTGAAAATTAAAGAATCCTGTACTGTAATTTATATACACATCTCATTCCTATTTTCAAATTAAATGAGATAGGATAAACAATTTTTCTAATCTCGTTAATTTTCTAATCGCGCTGTTCGCAAAAGCGAAATACAAAATTAAAATACAAAATGTAAAATACAAAATTATAAATGGACACGCAATATTTTCTAATATCTTTGATTTTTTCTTAACGTAGAACTTCAGGACCAAGTGACGCCGTTGAGCGGAAAGGACGACCCGGCTTCTCAGAAAGTGCACGTGGCTGTGTATTACGAAGCGTTATGCCCGGACTCGCGTAGTTTCGTCTTGAAACAATTAGTCCCGACGTCCCGAAAGCTCTCGGCGAACGTGGAGGTTGAACTGGTGCCGTACGGTAAGGCGAAGGTAAGAAGATTCGTTGGCGCGGCCAACACACTGTTATATTAACCGCGCGTTATATTCAAGTCAAGTGCGACTAAATATATAGGGCGCGAGGGTGAATTGAATCATCGATCGAGACAATTAGATCAGTGGGATCGGGAGTTGAACGGCGAGCTTCCTAAAGTTACCCCATGTTCGATTTCCAATACAGACGACGAAGACGAGCGACGGGTACCAGTTCGTGTGCCAGCACGGACCGATCGAATGCCAGGCGAACATCATACACGCTTGCTCCATCGACGTCATCAAGGACCCGTCGGTACAACTGCAATTTGTGGCCTGCATGATCGAGAATAACATTGACCCGGTGCGAATAATGAATACGTGCGCCGAGCGTATGTCCGTCGACCTGGAGTCCATGAGGAAGTGCTCGAACGGCGAACGGGGGAAGGAGCTCCTGGCGAAGTACGGAGAGATGACGAATTCCCTCGTGCCGCGCGTGTCTTTTATACCGACGATCACCCTCGACGGGGTGAGTGTTCGCTTCGTGAAAACGCTAAATAAAATGGACAAGAGCGGTACGCGCATCGGACTGACTATAATTAAGTGACATGTATTTTTCAGAGCTCCGAACACCAGGTGAGGATACTGAAAAACTTGCTGAAGGAGGTGTGCCTGCAATTCAAAGTTACGCCAAAGGAGTGCGTATCGTGAGAGCACGCATTGTTCGCCGCTAGCAAAACATATCTGCATAATCATCGAATTTTGTTATTATGTTACACGAGTTTAAAAAAAATACCATGTACGAGAAAATATAGTATTTTTCAAAAAAAAAGAAAATTGTCGCCCTGTTTCATCTCTCGGACAAGATTACACTTGACGTCTCGGTAGGTTTGACCGTTCGTTAATTATTGAGATGTAATTAGACGAGAACAATACGTAATTTATCTCTCGCTATAACTGCGCATAATTGCACACAGGATGACGTAGTTATAAAGTTCGTCCGTAATCGTGTGGTGTAAGATATTCCGTAGCGTTTTTTTTTTCATTCGCGTCAGATGCTTGACCATTTTTTTTTTGATCGGGGAGATAAAATCGCTTGTATTATAGATAAACACCAGTTTGCTCCCATATAAGTATATAGGAACAATTTATTAACTTAATATCAACACTTTATACAAACTGTGCCGCTTTATTTATGTACGACAAGAAGTGAAGAACGCCTTTGAGATACGGCAGAGAATATACTTACATACACTAGAAACAATTTTCGAATTAGATTTCTGAGAAAAAAAATCAAGGAGCGTTAAATCGAATGACTACAATCGTTCAAAGTAATAAAAAGAAAAGAACAGAGTCTACGCTCGAAATAATCAGATTAAAAAAAAAAAAGAATTTTCTCGTCTTGCAAACGTACAACGTTCTCACCTTGTTTATAGCGCAACGAACTTGCTCATTTAAAAAATTACGATTAGCGTATTCGAACGAAAACTCACTTCGTCGATCGATTTTGCGATTTTTTTTTATATGTACACATCGAAATAAATACAACGTTCGAATAGAAGCAGGATGTGTCTTGGTACCTCCGCAAATACGGTATAAACGATTGTTTTTTTTTTTTAAGAACAACAACGTGTATTTCAATAACAAAGATCGAGGGGACGCTAAATTAAATATTAGAAGAGCTAACGCTTCAATATTATTCGGTAAAGATTTGGCATTGCCTCGATGTTAACGTTCACAACAAGAGCTTCCATGCGCCACTCTTTTCTCTTTCTCTCTCAATCTCTCGCTCGCTCGCTTTCTTTTCTATCTACCTATCTATCCTCGGCGCGCGAAAATTCTTTCAATAAATAGATTTTGCGATACGGATATAAAATTACTATTATATTAAATACTGGAATAGAGTCTTTGTAACGTAAGAGACTTAATCGCTAGGTATCAGTGTTCGATGAAACGAAGCGGATTTGGAAGCATTTAGATACAGATGCCTGTCGAATACTAAACGACCACTTTTACAAAACGAGTGTGTTGTTGACAATCTTTCTCATTCTTAATAAAGTGTAAGTGTGGAAATATACCTCAGGACACAGAATAACCACAGTTTACAAATAGACCCAATGTGTGCTTTTTTTTCCTCCTCTCCCCCTAGATTTTTTTTTCGGGTGTTTAACGGGGAGCGAGATTTCCTAATTACAATTAATATACCGTACTTTCTTGTAACCTATATCTATTCTTCTCAAAAGTTTTTTCGAGGGTAGCGAGAAAAGTCAGAGATATGTAAAGTGGATCCTGTTCACAGAGACACAATGAAATATTCTCATAGCAAAGTATCTAGATGCCATCGAACACAAAAAGAGATGGTTGCTGAAACGAGAGGTCCATTAGTAATGAAGGAAACGAATCGAGTAGCTGTGACCTAAAAATGAGGATATATTTATTTTGTCTTTTTTTACTTTTTTTTTATCTTTTTATCTTTTTTGTTTTAATGATCAATGCGATCTAGGTCACCAGAAATACAAGTACTTCTCATTTTTCACTTCAATATTAAATAATAAACGACTGTGGAGGAATTATCTCTTTCATCTTTTTTTTTCTTAATTTCTTCGTAAATTATTTTATATATATATATATATATATTACATATATATTATGACTGAACCACCGACACGCATGATGTTTACGCTGTACGGCATTTATGTTCTTTACTCTCGAGTTCTTAAGTAACATTATATTGTACGGATCGCACAAAAATCACACCAGTTTCTCCGATCTGGTTGGCTCCGTTTTTACGAGACTGGCACGCACCCCTGGGCGAAGAAAAGTAATGCACCGATCTCACTGTGGCCTTTACTTCCTTTAATCCCCCATCCCTATTTTATTTCTCCATAGATTTACATATCAACAAAAGTGGTGTCGACGTTGTTTCTCTTTTTTTTCGTTTTTTTTTTTGTATCTTTTTTGCGCGCATGTATGTAAGGCTTTCCTTAGAGTGGAAGGCAAGTTTACAAATAGGAGATTAAAATGGAACTGGAGGCAAAACGCACTTCGTGAATATAATATTATAGTGTTTCTCTTTTTTTTTTCTTTTGCTCTGTGTGTAATAATCTTTCGTGTGTATAGTTTTTCGCGTAAGTATAGTTAAACGTACGTGTACGTGTGAGTCCCGTGTGCACGAGCACGAGAGGCTGGATGATGTTGATTGAAAGCGTAAGGAAGAGACATTTCTTTTTTATTAACATTTTCATTATTTTTTTTTTTTCAAATAGGAATGTCGAGACTTCGGATCCTGGAGCTTTCCAACGATCACGTCGCGACTCGTCGTCCGCGTGACGATCATATATTATCCGCACGACAGACATCAACATCCCGTCCCGCGAGAGACGCGACGCGAGCGAAAGCACTAGGTCTGAGCTCCTCGAAGCTCCTCCTCCGATTCTTTCTTCCCTCTCTCTCCATCTCATTTCGCTCTCTCTCATCTCTTTTTTTTATAAATTTTCTCGCTCGTTACTTATATAAATTAAGTTATTCGTTTGTGAGGCATCGAGGGGTCCAGCACAGCTTTTGCATTTAAAGTCGTCATCAATAACCCAGAGGCCGAAGCGCATCGTATTTATACTGTCGCTCTCTTTCTCTCTTTGTCTGGAAAACGATCGGTCCAGGCCGAATTCTCTCTCACAGAGACAAACAAACATTTGTACATGTGCATGCATTTTAACGGTAGAGACATCATCATCTATTTAGCAGCTACGTATCCTAATGTCATCATTCACTATACACGTATCTCGTTTATTAAAAAAAATGAACGAAGGAATTCTCGAGATGAATCTTTTTTTTTCTCGATTGGCAAATAAATCTTTGCTGCTTTTAATATTTATCTTACATCGGATTTATACTTTGTCCCTTAACACACACATTTCCTCTCCCTTTGTAAAGAGAAATTACAATTCTTCGACATGCCTTTCTCATGAAAAAACTTCCGGGGAAATGAAGGAGGACAGGTGAAGACATGGAGAGGCGGAGAGGGGGGGGGGGATGGTGGCGGAAGGAAAGGTAATGCCGAAGGGCGCGACAAGAAAAAAAAAGGAAAAGAAAATCAAAAAAAGCAGGAGAGGAAAGGTAGGAAATGAGGGAAGGGGGGCAGTCGAGAAAGAGAGGAAAGTGGAAAATGCACTTTTTTCTTTGTCGTTGGTGCACATGCGCGCGCAATTGTGTGTCTTCGCGTTATCTCACTTCCAAAATTGTTTTATCCAATGGAAATAAGACATCCGAGTGAATGTGTGTACGTGTATACTCTTCGAGCGTGTTACGTTCGTACGTGTTATTTAGTGTAACGAGTTACTGTGTTACGTGTGTTCGTTTTGTTATGTGTGCGTGTGTGTGTATGTGTGGGTGTGTGTGTGTATATGTATACACGCGTAAATATTTATGTTTTGAGAGATAATGATTTTAGTGGTATAACTCTTTAATTAAACAATTAATTGCCCTGTATTACTTATCGTTAAACGATGATTTTTTTTAACGCGTTATCGGACGTTGACTCTTCGCGCTTTTATAAGACATCTTCGTATCCTGATACAAGATTTGTCACTTTCTGGTTGATTCTCGTTTTGTTACATATGTTTTTTTCTCTGTTTCTTGATTTATTTAATACGTCAACACCACTCCGAGTCGCGAGTTCTTCCGTTACACAGGTTGCATTCACTTTGATGTCATCATTGTGACGAATTCTGAAACATACAACGAAAGAAATTTCTCATTACGTGTTAACGTATACATTAATTTACATTATGACTAAATCAGTCAAATGTGACAGTTTTCGTCAAAATAACGGCGAAGAAGTAAACAGTCGTCTTGTATCTCGTGACGTCGAAAGCGAAAGAAAATTACGAGTAGACACACGTGAACCAACCGTGCAAACTGCTTTATTGAGAATCGCATTAATTCACAGAATTTAAAACGATTTCGTCGACGAGAAATCATTAATGTAAATTGTAGGAATTGTTCGCGTACGTATCGTGGGAATTTCATTTGTTTTTAACGTCATGATTCGAGCTGGCTGACGTAAATTTATTAAAATTAGAGATTAAATCATTTTTTTAGTAGTGTTACAAAACGGCATGTGAAGAAGATTCCACGTGCGATATATCGACGTAAGAGTTCTATTTTATACTAATTAACAGATATTATGCAATGAGATACAACCTTCATAATTAACTTGGCCGTCGCCGTCGATATCGGCCTCCCGTATCATTTCATCTACTTCCTCATCAGTGAGTTTCTCGCCCAGATTTGTCATGACGTGTCTAAGTTCCGCCGCGGATATGAAACCATTTCCATCCTTATCGAACACTCTGAAGGCCTCTCTAATCTCTTCCTCGCTATCCGTGTCCTTCATTTTACGCGCCATCATGGTCAAGAACTCCGGGAAGTCGATTGTGCCGTTACCTAAAATTTCGGGATTTTCATAACGTCGAATTCTATCGAAGTTGCTCACTTTCCTCTTTCAATAACAAAAAAGGCGCTTTAAATATCTTGCAAGTGAAAAAAATAGCTCCTTCCAAAAATACTAAGTATAGTACTTTCGTCAACCGTGAATAAAACGGTTGCAAGCGGATAATACAGAAATAGAGCGAAACAACTTATTTTCGCAGGCAAAATAATTCGTAATGTAAATTACGATTTACACGCGCCAGAAAGTTACATAAGGATATACCGTACCATCCGCATCTACTTCGTTAATCATGTCCTGTAGTTCGGCTTCTGTGGGATTTTGTCCGAGGGACCGCATGACCGTGCCCAATTCTTTGGTGGTTATAGTACCATCGCCGTCTTTATCGAATAGCGAGAACGCCTCCTTAAACTCTGCGATTTGTTCTTCTGTGAGTTGGTCAGCCTTTAAACAAAAACAAACACACAAAATTTAACTCTCTCAGTAATAAACGAGTCACGTATGTATATGTATGAATAAGTACGTTTCAAAATATTCAAATGAGGGGATGATAATTATAGTTATTTTACACATACGTGTGAACTTTAAAACGCTATTCTAATTCTCATCTCTCTGACAAGAATTTGAATGTTTTATTTAGCTCTGCAAAGTCGGGAGCCTCTTCGCGAACGGCAGTTTCAAAAGACGCACGAGCCGTTTTACACAAGACAATTCCGTGCCATTGAAACGTACTCTCTTATCAGTTAAACGTGGCAAAAACAAGTTAATTGAGTTCCGGCTTAATTATCCCGATTATCCCTCCAGAAATCTCGAAAGGTTGCAACAAGTTTCGTAAACGCTTCCCACACCGGCGCGCCGAATAATGCGAGGCAACGAGACGCGTGATAATACCGGCAGAAATAGCACGATGATGCATATAGACAGCGCGATTTAATTGCCCGGCCGCATAAGTAAGGAATTCCCGGACTTACTTGGGAGTTGGATCGCGTGAATATATTAACGAGGCGAATCGCGCGTAATGCATCGCGCGAAAACGCGCTTTATGCGCGTTTCACGAAGGCACACACGCGTACCCCCCCCGCCCTTCCCGCGCGCGGCGCGGTTGTACGTCGCGCGCGGTAAAAATAAATTTTGATTCTTCTCCAAAAGTGTGTGTGCGTGCGTGTGTTTAATGCGGGAATCCATCTGTCATTCGGCGAACCTTCCTCTTTATTTTTTTTTCCTTTCCTTAATCGAACAATTATCGTCGCGCGCCGTCGAAAATCGGGGAACACGCGACGCCTTACTCTTTACGCGATTTTTTTAAAAATGCGTGCCGATCTCTCTCATCTCCCCCCCCCCCGTCTCCGCCGATTATAAATCTCGCACGCGCGCGCGCGCGCACGACACGTAAAAACGTCTTCGGAAAATTGCGACAACGCGGAATCTTTAATAAGTAACGCGTGTCGCGCGAGTCTCTATCTCTCTATTCCTGGACGCTAATTACAGACAGGTGCTGATATAGCGCTCGTTCTCGCGGCGAAGTGACCGCCGCCGATGATATCGATTTCTCGCGCAAGACGGAAATCGCGTCGTAAATCGCGTCGCTATCGCAACTCTTAGCAACGGTCTTTATTACGTACGTTTTTCTCTTCAACACACGGCTATCTTTATCGCCGTCATTTCTCGGTAAAGTCCGACGGCACGTAAGCGCCGCGCGAGCGCAATTACGCTCTCTCTCTGTCTTTCTCCTTGTTACGCCCGTCACGTTGAATGGTTCGAGCGCGTTCTCAGAAATTTCGATTTTTTTCGTAAAAATCCCGTTTCCGAGGGCCGGAAAGACCGTCGGATCGCGGGAGCATCGGGAAATCGCGCGCCTGGGCCGGGCGCGTCCACGACCGCCCGGCCTGCGGGATAACCTCACTTTTCGAACCGTCGGGCGAAATATGGCTCCGCGAGGCCGCCGAGAGGCCGCGTCCGTGCCGTCGCGGGCAGGGCGAGTTTTCACGGAGGAGGGAAGGGCCGCGGCCCCGAGCGCTTAACGGAAACGAAACGCGAATCGCCCGTCAGAGACGTCGTCGACGACGAGAAAACCCGTGTGCGTCGACAGGAGGGAAGGGGGAGGGGAGGGGGCGGGGGGGGAGAAAGACGGAAAGGTGAGCTGGCGTAACGGGTTACGGCGGGCGCGTAGGGAACGTAAAAGGAGCGACGGTGAGGGAGCGCGAAAATCAATAGCGAGCGACGACGAGATGTATCGCCCGTAACGTTTGATCGCCGGACGGATAGAAGCGCGTCGCACGCATCGCGTGGAAGGAAAGGGAGAGAAAGAGAGAGAGCGAGAGAAAAAAAAAGGAGCAGAGATATTAACGTCGAAAACACACGGTACGCACGCGTTATTACGAGGAACCCGGCAGCGCCCTTAAGAGAGATGAGTATCGGGTGACCCGTATGGATTATGCAAAAGGAGCGGTCGGGCGTTCGTGCCCGCTTCGCTCGCTCCGCTCTCGTATTTCGTGCTCCGATAGGTATCTATCTACGCCCGCGATCGAAGGAGAGGAGAGATTGCGGCGCGTGATAACGACGACGACGACGACGACGACGACGGCAGCGACGGCGACGACGGCGACGTCGCCGCCACCGCGTCGTTCCCCCCCATTCGATTCAAGTTTGAAATCTTTTCTCGCCGAGGTCGCGGAAATGACAAGCGTGGACGCGTCATCGATCGGGAATGACGCGAACGATCCGGAAAGTTTCTCTCGTCGATGAAAAAAAAAAAGCAGGAAATCGAAATCGTCCGTACCGTTTGTCTCTGTACTTTGCACGTTTACTCTCTCGCCGATATCTTCTCCTCTCAATTAAAAAAAAATAAATGTGTGGATGTGCATATGTATGGTATGTAAGTATGTATGGATGGATGAATGTAAAACCGTTTCGTCGACAAGTGTAGAAGGTGCAGCTGCGAGCGGATCATGGGACAGGCAAAACTCTGCGACGGCGTTTCGATCTCGGGCGCGAAGGCCGTGAATTTAGCAGCGTTACGGACGGACGGGACGGACGGGATGGGCGGGCGGACGGACGGACGAACGAGCAGTGAGCACAGCGAGAAGATAACCGTCGCGCGCGGCGCTCGTCGATTATCTCGACGAGTCCAAGAGGGCACACGCGATTGCGGGAGCGACGGCGGCCAACCGTCAGCAGGCCGAACAATGCGGCGGGAGCGGCAGAGACGAGCCGAGAAGAGAAAAGCGGCGAAATTAGCCGCTCCGCGGCGAACCGGAGTCTCGCCCACCTGTCTCGCGTTCCCCCGTAACGTACGGCCGGCTAGAGCCGGTCGTAAACGCGAAAATTCCGTCCGTCCGCCCGGTTCGGATAAAACGCGCGCGAGAGCTCGCCGCGCCGAAGAGTATAGAAATATCCGCGTTCAACGCCGAATACTCGCGCCGTGCCGGCGAATGGCGCGAGAGAGGGAAAAAGAAGCGTCGAGGCATTTTCGACAGCCTCCTCGTCCTCTCTCTCTCTCTCTCGCTCTGTCTGTATTTCTCGCTCGCTCCGCATACGTGTCTCTCTCTCTCTCTTTCCTTCTCCCTACACGGCGACGATCGATCAGCCGTTACTTCCGCTCGCGCGGATGCAGATTTTTCTCGTTGCTGCGGAAGAAAACTCTGCGAGGAGCACGACGGTGTGAAGTATAGACGGCCATGCCGGATCGATAATCCGCGGGGAGTCGGGGCAGTCTCCGGGGCGGCATGAGCGAAGTACGCTTCGACCGACGAAGGCTGACAATGAACGGTTGACGAAGAGAGAAGGGAGAGGGATGTATAGATAGCGAGGAAAGAGAGAGAACGAGGCTCCCGCCGATCCTTCCAGAAAAGGAAATCCGTCCTGGCTGCGGATACGAAACAAGATAGATGGAGTATGGTGTACGGACGAGGGCGAGTTCAAACGCCGTAACCCCTCGCGGCCGTAAATTGCGCATCTCTTTAACGCTTTACGCTCGTTGCACGTGCGCTTCGGTGGCGGCGGCGGCGGCGGCGACGACGCGTCAATGCGGCGAGACCGAGAGCTCTCGCGGGCACGGCTCTCTCGGTCGAATCTCAGTGGCGACGGCGACGACGACGATGATGATGACGGTGACGACGACAACGACGACGTGTAGAGCAAAGGCGACGAGACGAGGAACGGAGGTACGTAATGTCACGCGCGGCGACGATAATTCCCGATCTTCGATCTCTCCGAGTTAGCACGGCACAAACGGGTGGGAGTACTTACCATCGTGGGGCCCTCTCTTTTTTCTCACGTTCCGGTCTCACGCACGAGAAGACTCGGCTCGCGTTAACACACGCGTTTACTCCGCGCACTGGACAAACAAGAATGTATCTTAATTCACAACCTCCGGATACGTCGGTCGGTCGGTCGGTCGGTCGATTGCTCGGTCGCTCGCTCGCAAAATAAGACGGCTCGCCGTTCGGGCCGAAATCGGGGAATCAACTTCGTTAACGTGCACGAGCGCGGACCAGACACGCAGTCGACGGGGGGGAAACACCAAGTCCGGCGAGAAACGCACTCGGAACAGCAATGGAGTCCACCGTGTCTTTCTCGGTCTGCGAGGCTCTCTGTGAGCCGCCGCTGGTCTCGCAGCCCGGATATCACTACGCCGTCCCCTCACGAGCTGCACGACGGCCAATCGGCGCGCGCCGCCGGGTGCCGGGGGTGGAGGGAGGTGCCGCGAAGGGGGGGGCGGCTGGTGCGCGCGGCGGCCGCCTACGCGGCCGCGAGCTAGACCCCGCGCGCGGCGCGGCTTCCCCTCGTTGCCGAAAGGTGCGGAAAAAAAGGCCCGTGGCGATTTTTAATCGCTCGCGAACGGCGCGCGAACGGTGCGAGGAAGAGAGATAGGCGCCGCGGCGGTGTACGTACGCCGCGCGAGAGGCGAGAGATGCGCGCTGCGTCGCGCGGCGCCGCGCCGCGCCGCGCCGCGTCGCGCG